TTCATATGCCCCATGTTATACTGTGCTACTAGACAATGGTTAGAGGGGCATGAAGTATTTACTGTTAGTTTTGATTTGCCTAGTTACAGAAGTTATAGGTATATTTAGGAAAAAATGTAATTCTGGTATTTGCCAAAACTGGCATACAAGGCTTATGAAATAATTATAAATAAAAAATAGTATGTTTTAGTTTTTTGTTGTTGTTGTTTTTGTTTTGTTTTTTTTTTTTTGAGAATTCTCACTCTGTCGCCCAGACTGGAATGCAGTGGCTGCTCCCGGCCACTGCAGCCTCGACCTGCTGGGCTCCGGTGATCCTTCCGCCTCAGCCTTCCAAGTAGCCAGAATTACAGGTGCACTCTACCATGCCTGGCTAATTTTTTGATTTATTGTAGAGATGAGGTCTCGCCAAGTTGCCCGGGCGTGTCTCGAACCTACGGGCTCAGGCAATCCACTCACCTTGGCCTCCCAAAGCGTGGGATTACAGGCTGAGCCACCGAGCCTAGCTTAGTTTTTAATTGTTAGTTGTTATTTAAATTTAAATTGTTACCTTATGAACATCATAATGCTGTCATGTAGATACTAGTACATACATTTCTGTCCATATCTATTGCATAAAAATTGTTAATGGATAAATCCAAAAGCATTCCCAATAATATGATATAGGAGGAGAGAACAGTGGAACTGGTTTCATGTGATACAAGCTGCCAAAGCTTTGCTGGTGGAAAAGACAAATTGAGATACTGATGATGCAAATAATTGTTAGAAGGAGGAAATTGGAAAATTTAGCCAGAGTGGCATATTTCTGTACTGACTTGCATTGTTTTCACTAATATTGTGTCATATGTTATTTGTATCTTAAAATAAAAAGATACATGTATTGAAAAGATGAAGCAAAATTAGTTGAGTCTAGGTGGTGGAAATTAATGATTTTTCAATTTTAAGATGTTTATTTACTATTGATATTGCTTTTGCAATAAAGGGGAAAGGAAACTATTGTGTTTGCTGAATTCTTCAGAAGGAAAATTAATAAATATGTGATGATTCACATGTAAGTTATCTAGGTGAAAGAATGTCTTTATATAGCTGTAACTGGTAACTAGGAACAAAGGATCTTTTTGAAAATTTCTAGTACAGTGGGGCTTGACTGTGAGATGTATTTTATTACTAGTACATCTTTTAGACAATGTTCATGTGAAGATAATTTTTTGCAGTGTGTAGCATCAGAATATTAAATACATATACATTGCAGTGACAAGGGGAGATACTTCTTGAAGCAAACATAGTTTTCTGTAATGACTTGGTACTTTTTTCTTTAAGTAAATAATTCTTGACCGGGCACAGTGGCTCATGCCTATAATCCCGGCACTCTTGGAAGCAGAGATGGGAGGATTGTCTGAGCCCAGGGGTTTGAGACCAGCCTGGGCAACTTGGTGAGACCTCGTCTGTGCAATAAATTTTAAAAAAAATTTTTTTTTAAATTAACTGGGTATGGTGTCACATGCCTGTAGTTCCAGCTATTTGGAAGATTGAGGCAGAAGGATCACCTGAGCTCAGTAGGTCAAGGCTGCAGTGACCATGAGCATGCCACTGTACTCCAGCCTGGTGACAAAATGAGATTCAAACTAAAAAAAAAAGAAAGAAAGAAAATAATTCTCAATGAGAAAATGATTCATTATTTAGATATTTACTTTTTATACATTGGTAGAATGGCCCATCTTTCAGTGTAATGGGATCCCTATTACTAAATGACCTCTGAGATCCTTTTTCATTTTAAGGCTTTTTTAATACACTCTGAATTTTTCCTGTGTTATAGGTTACTTTGTGACTAGATGAGACTCTTTCACTCTGGGTTTTTCTCCCTGTATGCCCTCCCCTAAGTGTCTGCCTTACATGTTTGGTGTCTTTCATTGACATTTAGAGCCGCTCTATATTAACATATGTTCACATCTATCCTGTCCTAATTCTGTAATAAGTCAGCCACAGAGCTCTTCTTCTCCTTTAAGTCTCTGAAGTCTGCCTGGTTAGGATTTCTCTCTTGTCAGGTCAGCATTCTGAGAAAGGGCACTGGGGATATGCCCTCTAGGGTTTGGAGAAGAGACTAACTTTAAGGTGAAAGCCCTAAACACTTGGGTGAATTATCTGCTAAATTCTGCCCAACCATCTGATGTCATGGTATATATCTCACTACTTCAAGGACAGACATGGCTCCAGATTCTAAACAAACACTTTAGCAAAAAGACTTAATACATATCTAGTAAACAGATTTCAGCATCACCTGCCATTAGGGAATACAAGTCAAACATTTATTCACTTACTCATTTCTTCTTATTTTTTTCATGGACAGTTCTAATACAATAGATTTACTCATATCTTTTGCATTTCTGATGAGGATATTCTTAGAGGTAATTTGGACCAATCTCTATACAGATATCAGAATCCTAGTAAAAAGGATTATATAGGCAGGTAAAGGAATCAGAAGTCAGTGTCAGATACACAGCATATCTTTCTCTCACTTCGCCTTACTAACTGAAGCTCCAAAGTAGGAGAGCTATCAGCACTATTTAGATGGATTTGCTGGGACTATAGAAGCAGAACAAATAGCAAGGTAGGGGATAAGAGAAGGAAACAGGAAAAAAAAAACCCCATGCTCACATTAAGAAGAGGTCGTGTGAGCACACAAGAAGGTGGCAGACTGCAACCCAAGGGGAGAGCCCTTACCGGACATGGACCATGCTGGCACCTTGATATTGGACTTCTAGCCTCAAGAACTACAAGAAACAAATTTCTGTTGTTTAATTCCCAACCCCCCACCACCTGCAAAAATAAAAAATAACAGGAAAAAAGGGAATCTTAAAGTTTCTTCATTTCTCAAATTGGATATTGACTGATGGTGCTTACCTCTTAGGCAGACAATTCACATACTGTTCCAGAATAGAAAAAACACTACTAAAGAAGAACTATAGAGCAGTGAATAAGTGTGGAGCCAGACTCCTGTATTTGGATCCCAGTTTATTCACTTACTAGTTGTGTAATCTTGGGCAAGTTACTTAGCCTCCCTCTGCCTCAGTTTCCTCATCTGCAACTTACCTCATAGCGCATTAAGCAAATTAGCATATATGCAAAGACTTAGATGGAGCCTGTCCCATAGTAAATACTCAATAAGCGTTTGCTATTACTATTGTTATTAATAATGGCAGCATTCTTGTTCTGTAACACCTTTCTTCCTGGCACACTAGTTATTTGCATTGAAAGGGCTAGGAAAAATGACTGCGTAATTTTGCTCCTTGAAGCTCCTGCTTCAAGTCTTTCTTTCATTTCTGTTTTGTAATGGTGAAATAGATGCTGGCATATGATATAAGCAGGAAAATCTGGAGTAGATGTTTTCATAGAGATAGCAAATAGTGATACATGCTTGCTATTCCTTTACCAAGTTCTTACACAGTGCAGTAGAGAAACAGGAGAAGTGAATTTACCAGTAAACAAGGTCCTATTAGAGATTTGAGAATCCATTGATCACTGGTTACTGCCTAAGCAGGTAAAACATCTCTTTTTGCAAAAATCTGTTTGAAGTCATTGTTCACTCCCCCACCCCAAATCTGTTGGTGGAGTCATCATTCACTTTTGTCTCCATTTATTTTATTTTAACATACTGATTTTCATAAATCTAAGAGCTATATTGTTTCCTTAGTAGAGCTCTATAATTTATTTTGAAATATTTTCTTATTTCCCTTTCTTCCTTGACCCATGTATCATTTAGAAGTGTACTGTTTAATTTCCAAATATGTGGGATTTTTCACGTAACGTACTGATTTTTAATTTAGCTTCATTGTGGCTAGAAATGTGTAGTCCTTTTAAATGTATTAATTCTTGTTTTTATAGCTCAGCATATGGTCTATAGTGGTGAATGTACCATATGCACTTGAAAATGTAGTTGTTGAATATTCTGTTCTCTGTGTGTCATTTAGCCCAAAATGGTTGATAGTGTTGTTCAGATCTTCTTTTTTATGATTTGGGGGTGGCAGGGGCAGGGCGGTGGTTTCAAGTTGTATCAGTTATTGAGAGAAGAATTTTAAAGAAATCTTTAACGGTATCTATTTCTTCCTTTTATTCTTTCGGCTTTTGTTTTATATATTTTGAAATTCTGCTTTTGGCTGTTACTGATTCTTGATGATTTGGTCTTTTAATCATTATGTCCCTCTTCTGGGAATATTTTGTATCCTAAAGTCTACTTCAAGGCCACTCCAGCCTTCTTGTGCTTATTGTTTGCATCTTTTTTCATTTACTCTCCGCCTATCCATGTCTATACTTACATGCTCCTCATGAAGACATCATATAATGGGATCTTACTTTTCACTTATTTTCACAATCTCTGCCTCATTATTGGTGTGCCATTATTCATCTGTTCACATTTAGTATAATTGTAATATGTTTAAACTTAGGTCTGTAATTTTACTATTTGTTTCCTTTTGTGTCATGTTTTTCATTTCTTAGTTTTCTGCCTGCCTTTGAGTTGTTCCTTTTTGAATTCCATTTTAAGTTATCTACTAGCTTTTATAATTATACCTCCAAATTTTTAAAAAGTAGATTCTCTAAGGATTTCTCTTTCTCCTCTTCTCCCTACCCCCCGCCACTTCCCTCGCTGCTGCTGTGTGTGTGTGTGTGTGTGTGTATGTATGGATATATATCCTTAATATCGGTATTATATCTCTTTATATAAAATATAAAAACCTTGCAACCATATAATTCTACTTACTGCCCTTCATGCTTTATGCATTGGTTGACTCATTACACCTACACATCAGAGCCTTTCCCTAATACAGTTATACTTTTTGCTTTAAGTAGGCATATGTGTTTAAAATAAATTAAGAGGAAAAATAATAGTCCTTTATGTTTATTCACCCTCGTATTTACCATTTTTGTCACACTTCATTACTTCTTGAAAATATAGGTTTCCAGGAGGCGGGGCTGGCGCCGGGGAAGCAGGTTCCCGGCAGGCCGCGATGGCGCCGGAGCGGGGACCCGGGGCTGCCCCGCCTTCTGGCTCCCCGGCACTGCTGGACGCCCTGCTCCAGGACCTCTATGACTTTGGAGAGACAGAAGATGAAACAGAACAGAAGAGAATCGGGAAGAAAAGGGAAAACAAGAAGAGACATATAGAAGTTCCCATGGCCTTGGCAGCAGAGCCAGCTGTCCTGCCTGGTTCTCCTGTAAGAAGCCAGAAGAAGAGTGCTTCCAGTTTCTTCAAGAAACTCAGAGAAGAGCTGCAGTGTACTGCTGGCACTCCCACTGGTCCTTCTTCAGGACCCAAAGTCTCTACTGCTGCAGTGTCTCCCTCTCCCTTAAAGAACAGCACACGACAAGTAGAAGTGGTGGAATTTCACAGCAGAAATAAAGAAAGAAAGCTGAAGCCAGATCAGGATGAGAGCACAAAGACTAAAACTAGTGTTTTGGAGAAAGATATGGATATACAAGAATTTAACCTAGAAAAGGCTCGTTTGGAAGTGCATCGGTTTGGGATCACGGGTTATGGAAAAGGAAAGGAAAGAGTCCTGGAACAGGAACGTGCCATCATGCTGGGTGCTAAGCCTCCCAAAAATAGTTATGTGAACTATAAGGTTTTGCAGGAGCAAATCAAAGAAAAAAAGGCAGCAAAGGAAGAGGAAAAGAGAATGGCCCAAGAAACAGATCTTTTCAAGAAAAAGAAGAGGAAAGGACAGGGAGACAGGACATCCAAAAAGAAGAAGTCGGCTCCCAGTATTTTGTCCAGTGGACGGATTGGACAGGTTGGAAAATTCAAATATGGGGCATTGATTCTGAGCTCAGTTGATATCAAGAAAATAAATTCTTCCAGAGTGGCTAAATGAAGTACTCGATCAGATAAAAAGAACGGGAGCACCTGAGTCAACAGCCCTGACACTGGTCCCCTGCAAGATATCTAGATTATGATTTCATGTTTCACAGACTGCCTTTTCATTTAGGAAAACATGTCAAACAGAAATAACATTTCCAGTCGCTGAAGTGTCTGTCCTGTGCTGCTAAACACATAGGACCAAGTATGAGGAGAGCATGGGGGGGGGTCCCCACAAGTGCCCCTGCTGCTTCACACGCACTGGGTTTGGTGCGTTTGAGTGTAATAATGTTTTTCACAGTTTTATTGTTTTGTAAGTGCTGATAATTTACATTAAATTGCCTTTTAATATTTTTAATGATTTAGTGCTTTGGTATCATGAAAGAACCAAGAGTCTGGTAACATAGCAGTTGTTTTGTGGAAAAGCAAATTTTAGCCTTTCGTGTATAAAATCAACTTTTAACTTTTTAAGAAGTTATATAAATAAAAGGCAACTTTTTAGTAAAAAAAAAAAAGAAAAGAAAATATAGGCTTCCATCTAGAATCATTCCTTAATGCTAAAGAACCGCCCTTAACCTTTCTGGTAGTACAGGCTTTTGGGTAGCAAATTTTTTTGTTTGTGTTTATTCGTCTGAAAATGCCTTTATTTCATTTTCGTTCTTAAAGGATATTTTCACTAGATGCAGGATTCTGGGTTGACAGATATCCCCCACCCCTTCAGCACTTTGGGAGGCCAAGGCGAGTGAATTGCCTGAGCCTGCGGGTTCAAGACCAGCCTGGGCAACATGTTGGTGGGACCTCATCTCTACAATAAATTAAAAAATTAGCCGGGTGTGGTAGTGCGTGCCTGTAGTTCCAGCTACTTAGAAGGCTGAGGCAGAAGGATCGCTGGACCCCAGCAGTTTGACACTGGGATGGCCGTGAACATGCCACAGCACTCCAGCCTGGGCGACAGAGTGAGATGCCAAGTCAAAAAAAGTATTATGTCACTGTCTTTTAGCCTCCATTGTTTCTGATATTTCTTACATGGAAATTCATATCAATCATTTATATCATTGATGTTTAATAGATATCATTTTTCTCTGGCTCAAGATTATCTTTTTAGCTTTGATTCAACTGTGATATGGCTAGGGATAGTTCTCTTTGTATTTTCCCTATTTGGGATTCACTGAGTTCCTGCAAGTTTATGTCTTTCATCAAATTTGGGAAGTTTTGGCCATTATTTCTTCAATTTTTTTTATTCTCTTGCTGAAACTCTGGCTATTTATATGATCAACATTTGATTTTGTCAAACCAATACCTTTCTTTTCTTTTTTTTTTTTTACTTGTTTTTCTCTCTGTTCTTTGGATTTGACAATTTTATTGTTCTTTTTTTCAAGTACTGACTTTTTCCTTTGTCATCTCCAATATTCTGTTGAGTGAGTTTTTTTTCAGCTATATGTTTCAATTCTAGAATTTCTACTTGGTTCCTTTTCAGAGTATCCATTTTTCAGAGATTTCCTATTTATTCATTGCAAGCATATTTTTGTTTACATCCTTGAACATAGTTATAACAGCGTCTTCAAAATCTTTATATGGTAAATCCACTATCTTGGAGTCAGTCTGCATTGTTTGCCTTTTCTCTTTAAGTGTGGTTCCCCCCACTTTTTTTTTTTTGGTATGTATAATAATGTTGGACATTGTGAATGACACATATAGAGGTTCTGTATTCTGTTTTATTCCTCTGAAAAAAAACGTTTTTCCCTAATAGGCAGTTAACTTGGCTAGCCTTAAATGTTAAGCTTTGTCTTACTTGTGGTAGGCAGCAACTGAAATATCTTTTCAGTTCTTTTAGACTTAACTGGGACCCTTGGTGTCTGTCTTATGTGTGCTTAATTCAGGTGTCAGCTAGAGATTTGGGTAAGTTTATGCAAAGGATTTGGAACTCTGAATCTCTGGGATTAAGGTTTCTTTTGGAATTTTAGCTGCTTCTAGCATGAAAGCCTGCTTTAGATGTAAAGTCATTTAAAAAAAAGAGAGAAATTTAACTAGAGGCCCTTCCTTTCTTCCAAGTGTCAACTCCCATCCACTTTTTACTGTGGATTGCTCTCCAGTGCCTTCAAGTAATATGTTGACCAGAATTTATAGTTATCTATGAGAGGGGTTCAGTACAATAGAAACTACTAAGCCATTACTAAAATTAGAATCCCCTTCGCCCATCTTTGTTTGTTTGTTTGTTTGAGTTGGGGTTTCACTCTGTCACCCAGACTGGTGTGTAGTTGCATGCTCACCACCACCCCACCGTCAACCTGCTGGGCTCTGGCGATCCTCCTGCCTCAGCCTTCCAAGTTGCCAGAACTATAGGCGTGGATTACCATGCCTGGCTAATTTTTGATTTATTGTAGAGAAGAGTTCTTGCCAAGTTGCCCAGACTGGTCTCAAATCCGCAGTCTCAGTCAATCCACTTGCTTTGGCCTCCCAAAGTGCTGGGATTACAGGCTGAGCCACCAATCCCGGCCCCCATCTTTATTTTTCAAGGAGACTAGATAGCATATAAAAAATAATGTGTGATAATTATAATCACCATGTTCCTATCAATCCTTAGTGATCATTTCGAACAACGGTATAAGTAATTCAGAAGGAATTGCTAGCATAAGGATAGAAAATAACTGCTTAATTTTTTTGAGGAGAAGCACTGTTTTCCTTATATTTCTTCCACTTAAGGAATAGCTCAGTTTTGTGTGACATACTAAATTCTCCAAGAGCTAAAAGCATCGTTTCTTGTTAAGTAGATGAATTATCTTACAGATAGATGGCACATTTTTGGGCACTGTTAATCTGATACTGACAATGTGGTAGGAAATAATTTTGAGTTCAGAAGTCAGCTTTAAATTGGGCTGAACAATTTTGATATGTGAAACTGATACAATTCTTTGAATAGTCATTTTCATTGTATAGTATTATTTGTTCATTTAGAAATTTTTATTATGGAATATTAATTCAAAAGTGTATATGAAATGTAAAGATATAACAGAATAATAAAATGAAAACTTTATTCATTTATTAATAATTATTGACTTTAGTTAATTATTCATCTCCCTTCCCCCCATTCTTTTATCTTCTCTCTCTTCCTTTTGTAATTTGAAACTCGCAGGCATTGCCAAGCATTGTAGGACAAACAAGGTTGCAGGTCCATGATAACATAAATTCTTTCCTGGCAGTAATAGTAAACATTGCCTATAACTTAATAAGGAATAATTTCAGATTCTTGGATATCTGCTAACTATAGTTTGGATAGCTGTTTAACTGCTAACAAATTGGAAATATCAGTGAAGTCATCCTTTTAAAAAAAAATGTTACTTAGTAATACTTTTCCCCCTGGTGTGTATACATTTTTGAATACTCATTTTTACATTTTAATTCTAAATCATAAACACACGTGTGATATTTGGGCTATTTCTTTTTTTTTTTTTTTTGAGTTGGAGTCTCACTCTGTCACCCAGACTGAAGTGCAGTGGCCACTCCCGACCACCGCAGCCTCGACCTGCTGGGCTCCGGCGATCCTTCCACCTCAGCCTTCCAAGTAGCTGGAACTATAGGCGTGCGCTACCACACCCGGCTAATTTTTGACTTATTGTAGAGACAAGGTCTTGCCAAGTTGCCCAGACAGGTTTCAAACCCATGGGCTCAGGCAATCCACTCACCTCAGCCTCCCAATGCACTGGGATTACAGGCTGAGCCACCGAGCCAGGCTGCTATTTCTTTTTCAGAGAGAATTAGTGATTGTAAATCCTTTGAAAAGGAAACTGCATCAGATTTGAATCATTATAAGAAGCTAATCCTACCAAAGGCGATCTACAGATTCAACGCAATACCCATTAAAAAAAAAAAGAAGTTAAAATGTGTGAGAGAGAAAGAGCAAAAAAAGCATGAAATGACTTCAACTTGAGAACATATAGTTTGTTTTTTAAGATTTTGGGGCAATTTGAAGTAAATCTGTAGATGGCCTAAGAGGGCAAATGTCTGAATTGTGGCTTGTAAAGGAGCATTAGCTGAGTTGGATTTCATTAGAGGGAGAAAGTAGGTAGCCATAAAATACCTCAAGGCAAGACACTAGTTTTATGAACTGGAACTCCTTTACTTTCCATGGTTATGCTGATAAACGACATCTTGACTGATTTTTTTTCCATTAGATATGAAGAAGCTGAAGTTCGGAAAAAACTTGAAGAAAAGGATAGACAGGAGGAAGAACAGCTGCAACAACAGAAAAGGCAGGAAACAGGGAGAGAGGATGGTGGTATGACAGCTATAGGTTCTTTGGAGAATGTATTGGATTCCAGAGACAAAACCCAAAAGGTATTTCAAATTTATTGTGTGAGATAAAAGACTGGTTCTGTTTGTCATGTGATTTGCTTAAAAAGAGTTTACATACCTGTAAAATAAAGTTCTTTTATAAGTAAGGGAAAATGTTTTCATTAGAAATCAATTTACGTATTCTAGCTTCAGTTGATTCCAGCTTTTTCTGTGAGCTTCTGTAGCAATATGTTCTGTACAGTAATAATTTTTTTTTCTTTTTTTTTTTTTGAGTTGGAGTCTCACTCTGTCGCCCAGACTGGAGTGCAGTGGCCGCTCCCGGCCACCACAACCTCGACCTGCTGGGCTCCGGCGATCCTTCCGCCTCCGCCTTCCAAGTAGCTGGAATTACAGGCATGCGCTACCACGCCCGGCTGATTTTTTGATTTATTGTAGAGATGAGGTCTCGTTGCCCAGGCGGGTCTTGAACCCGTGGGCTCAGGCAATCCACTCACCTCAGCCTCCCAAAGGCATGGGATTACAGGCTGAGCCACTAGCCCAGCAGTAATAATTTTTTTAAAGCAATCACTATAAATTTAATTAAAGCAGTAGAAAGAGCATTTGATCTGAGCTGTGATTCATTATATCTGTTATAATGGTCCTTTGTCAAGTCTTGTTAACCACCCTGGGACTCAGTTTCCATATTGGTCAAATGAAGGTCTTGAAATAGATGATCTTTGTGGTTTCTTTTTTCTTTTTCTTTTTTTTTTTGAATTGGAGTCTCACTCTGTCACCCAGACTGGAGTACATTGGCCGCTCCCGGGCACCGCAGCCTTGACCTGCTGGGCTC